GCGCGGAAAAGCCAAAATGCTTTTTATGTACAGTAGACAAAGAAGATCGAAACAGCGGGAGCCATGTCGCCGGATCCGGTACCTGTAACGCATTCCGTGTAGCACTTGCCGAAGCCACGAGAGAACAGAAATGACGCGATTTCTACAAGGTAATCTGAACAGATGTGCCTTGGCGCAGAATCTACTGCGCCAACGTGTATTTGAAGATAAGATCGATATCTGCCTTATCTGCGAGCAATATATGAATATTCAGAATAAAACATGGTTCGCAGATAAATCTGGCACGGCAGCAATATGGATCACAAACTCAAAGAAGATCACCGTCAATGACAACGGAAGCGGCGAGGGTTTCGTCTGGATCAAGACTCCCACGACCTACTGTGTAAGCGTCTACCTCTCACCAAATGAAGGGATCAGCGTATTTCGCCAGAAAATGGCAAGCATAGAAGACACTCTCGGCAATTTTGACGGAGAAGTCATTATAGCTGGGGATTTCAACGCGAAATCGGCAGAATGGGGCGCCGAATACTCGGACACTAGAGGAAATGACGTGGCAGACTTTTCTGCAAGATTAGACCTTACTGTGTTAAATACTGGGAGTATTACAACCTTTAGAAGGCCAGGGTATCAGGAATCTATTCTCGACATTACGTTTGCCACTCCAAGGACGGCGAACATGATTGGAGACTGGACTGTATCTGAAGAGTATAGTGGCAGTGATCATCAACATGTGACATTTAGTATTGGATCCGGTCCGACTCGACCAAGCAACTCTTGCAAACGAAGGTGGAATGCCAAGAAGCTTGACCAGGAAGCGTTGCGAGCAGCCCTCGAGCAAAACGCATCTACTCTTCAAGCGGATCCAAAACTAAATACCCGCAGAGAAACGGAAGAAACGGTATTTAAAACTATGAACGCTATTGTCACCTCATGTAACGCCTCTATGCCACGACCAAAAAATCAGGGTGTGCACTGTCCAGCATATTGGTGGTCATCAGAGATAGCAGAACTACGGAAAAAATGCCACGCATTACGTCGCCGCGCCACAAGAGCTGCAAAACGCTCCCCCTACCAAGATTTGTATACAAACGAATACAAACAGGCAAAAAAGAGCCTAAATAAAGCCATAAAATCAGCTAAAGCCGGGTTGTGGAAGGAAATCTGCAATGACCTTGACAAAGATCTCTGGGGCAAAGCCTATCAAATCGTTACAAAACGACTTGGTAGAGCTTTACCAGAAGCACCGAAATCTCCTGCTCTGATGAATTCTATCGTAGCGGAACTATTCCCTAAACATCCGCCACGGAAAAGGAGACAATACGTGGAAAACAGTGAAACTACGCCCTTCACTGTCAAGGAACTCCAAGATGCGGCAAAAACCATAAAAACTGGCAAAGCACCAGGCCCTGATGGCATTCCAGCCTCAGTGATCAAGATTGTAGCCTTGGAATTTCCGTATATTCTTCTGAACGCATACAATGCCTGTCTGGCGACCGGCACCTTTCCTACGGTCTGGAAGCGGCAAAGATTGGTCCTAATAGACAAAGGTAAGGGAACCCCTGTAAAGCCATCGTCGTTTCGACCACTCTGCATGTTAGACATCGCCGGCAAACTGCTTGAGAAACTTATTCAATGCAGACTGCGCAACGACATTGAATGCGCCGGAGGTTTTGCTAAGAACCAACACGGATTTCAAAAAGGACGATCGACGATCGGCGCGATTCGGAAGGTAACGGAAACAGCAAGAGAAGCATGGCGGGGTAGTCTTAAAGCTCGTAAAGTGTGTCTCCTTCTCACATTCGACGTTAAAAACGCGTTTAACAGTGCGAATTGGGAGGATATTTTACACGCACTAGAGCATAATTTTGACGTAAAGCCAGAAAATCTAGGACTAATAGACGACTACCTCGATGGGAGAAAGTTGATAGTGGAAACGACGGAAGGTCATCAAGAACACGAGGTTACAGCTGGGGTACCTCAAGGCTCAATCTTAGGAGCCGATTTGTGGAACGCTGTCTACGACGAGCTCCTGGAGATTCCCTTGCCGAAGCAGGTGGAACTCACGGGTTTTGCGGACGACGTCGCAGCCACAATCGTAGTGGACAGCATTGAGGAAGCTGAACTACTCGTTCGAGAGACCGTCGACACCATAGAGACCTGGCTTGAGAAACACCACCTAAAACTCGCCAAACAAAAGACGGAGATGGTTGTCTTGACCCGACAAAAATGGTTTCCAAAACCATTCACCGTAGACCTAGGAGAGACAACTTTGACGTCGACAAGGGCCTTGCGCTATCTGGGAGTAATGATAGATGAGAAGCTATCCTTCCGTGAGCATCTCGATAGTGCATGCATAAAAGCTAGCAAGACGGTATCCAACTTGTCAAGGATTATGGCTAACTGCATGGGACCACAAACCCGAAAACGACGAGTCCTGCTTGAGGTAGTCCATTCTGTACTGCTTTACGGAACAGAGATATGGGCGGATATCCTCAAGCAAAAGACTTATCGGCGCAAAATAGCGGCAGTGCAAAGAAGAGGAGCTCTGAGAGTTACCTGTGCCTATCGCACAGTCTCAGAAGCAGCCGTGCTGGTAATAGCAGGAGCCACACCGATTGACTTGCTAGCTTTCGAGAGAGTGAAACTCTACGACGCTAAATTAGGTGGTGACGATTCCAGAGAAACAAGGTCGAGAATTAAAAATGAAACGATACAAGAGTGGCAAAATCGGTGGACGTCAGGAGAGACGGGCAGATGGACGGCGCGTCTGATTCCGGACATTAGCGTCTGGCTCTCTCGACAATACGGGGACACAGATTTCTTTCTAACCCAGCTACTGACAGGACATGGACAGTTCAATGCCTATCTTTTTAAGATGGGATTGCATAGCACGCCAATGTGCAAATACTGTCCATATAAAATAGATGACGCTGAGCACACGTTCTTTGAATGTCCTAGGTGGAAGGATTATCGAAACAACGCCGAGCACATTATAGGCACCAGGCTTACCCCCTCAAGTCTTGTGACCTACATGATGAAACAAGAAGAAAACTGGTCAGCTGTAGCAGCTTATGCACAGCATCTTTTGAAGGCTAAAACCGGAGAAAGGGACCAGTAGTCGTAAACAGGCGTCGCAAGGCGCAGCACGGACTGGATTGATGTAATGCTAACGCGGTTCCAATCCAGTCCTCCCCGTACCATCTGCGGGGAGAGGGGAGAGGAGTGTTTTTTTTAGTGGGTAAAAATCTCCACACGGCCGTCCATCTTTGTCTGCTGTAGGATGGACAGCGGAGTATCAACGATGGCGGTGTCTTATGAAGATTTTTTTTCGCACCTCAATAAAAAAAAAAAAAAAAAAAAAAAAAAAAAAAAAAAAGCATACACACACACACACATCCACTTTTTCTGGGGTATGCCGAAATGTTCAGAAACCTTCAGAACGTCGAGAAATGCAAAAATTTTCAATTTCGATTTCTGGACGATTACAATAACTTACCCTACGGGAAGTTAATAACTAGTCTAATAGTGATATCACATAAAAGTGATAGTTCTTTTGTTAGAAATGCATAGAGACGCATAGAAACAATTCTGTTGAAATTTTATATATTCAACATACAAATACCATTTATATAATAAAAATAAAGGAAGAGTAAAATGATTTTTAATTCCATTCAATAACGGCAAAATTGTTCAATAATGTTAGGGGTCGTCCAATAATCGAGTATGCCTCCCTTGCAAGAGCCACAGATTGGATATCACCATCATTAACCAGTTTATTGTGGATCGTCAGAATCGGGGTAAAATGTTGTTTTAAGGTAAAATTCGCCTTTGGTACTATTTATTTTATTCAAACATAGCCTCAAAATATTCCAAATATCTTAAAATTTGAGAGTATGTTTTGTCTTTTTTTTTTAATTTCAAAATTGCAGCCTCATGGGCCAATGGTCATTTGGATTATACGCATGAGGAGTATATTCTTCAATCTCAGGTAACTAATCACATGATCGCTTTTTAAGGATTTTTGGACCACCCTTCCCCTTAGTGAATATTTAATATCATCCCCCTCCTCAACGCAACTTCACGCGTGTTTTGAGAAAATGGTTACATTTTGAACTTTTAAATTTCTAAATGCAGTTAAAAAACTAAATTAATGTGATAATCTTACTCCCCTTTTGTAATATTTCGTAATTTGTCAAATCCTTTCCGCCTTTTTCAACCTCACGTGATTAATAAACAGCCTGTTTATTTATCAATGGTTTTATTTTTTGTTTAATTACGATTTATATATTACGAGGACATTTAGTAAGTTTTTGATTTTATTAGTGTATGTCTTGTTTGGAAGACATTACCAAATATAATTGTCCTAGTTGTGACTTATTAGGACTATAGAAAAAGTAATTTTGACTTCATTTTTTATGCAGTAGTTTTTTTCACTTGAGATCATATTTTTGAGGACTATGATCTGAAGTGAAAACATGATATACTGCTTGATACGGAGCTGACCCGAAGCTAAGGGTAGGTAGCCCAAGTTTGTACCATAACACCACGGCTGATTCATTAATACACAAATTGATATTTTTTTGGGATAAAATCAAGTTAGATATTAGTTACTGAAGTTACTTAATATTGAGTTGATCAATAAATATTTATAATATAAAAAGTGTTAATATTTGGCATCACAGTCGAAGCTAGAAATATTAGTAATACCCAGGATTTCTATAATTTTAATCATTTTCACAGTATTTAGAAATCTGCACATGCAAATAATAAATAAATCACATTGTAATTTATTATAAATTGCATATTTTAATAACAAATCAACGAACCCAATAGGAATACAAACTGGCTGACTTTTTAACATAATTTCAAAACACATAATAAACTAGGGGCAAATGGCAATTTGTCTTGAAGCATAATTGATAACTATTTGATAATTATGAATTTAAACTTAATATAAATTTTATATAAAAACAAAATATGTATAGTATAAATTCGCTTACCTTTAGTGGTCGTGTGATTGTGACAGTTTCTATTGTCGTTGTCGGTGCCATTTTTGATTCTGAAGGTCTTCTTGAACTAGAAACAAACAAACCGTAGTTAATTTACAATCAATATATAATAAAGCACATGTAATACACTGATTTCCGTATGAGCATATCATAAACCATCTATACCAGTACTTCCCAACCTTTTAAGACAACAATAATTTTTTATAAAAATGTTATGCTCCCAGCATAAATATCATCTATTAAAAATAGTTATGTTTCATTAATAAACTTAAATGATAAGTTAAACCTCGACCAATTTTACTTGATGATTGCAATTGCCATTGTTATAAGGCCAAACGAAATCGTAGTTAATTTTTATTCAAAGCTTTTTTTAAAATGACTTTTTGCTAAATTTGTCAGACATCTATCATTGCAAATTGCTTTAAGCAACAGGTATACCTTTTAATCCGTTTAAATATATTACATGCATTCTTTACAGAATATTAACCCACATAAATCAGGCGTATAATTTATTAATTTAATTACAGATTGAGCTATATATAGTTCAGCTTGAGATTTATTTATCATATCTCTTATAACTGGTAAACGTTCATTCTAATATTAATGTAATATTATACAGATTCATTCATTAAACTATTAAATAAAAACTAAGATTTATTGTTTTTCAAAATAATGGTAACATTTTACTTATTCTGGGATAGCCCATTTGAGACCTAATGCAACAAGAGCCCTCGTGAAACTCGATGTACGATGTACGCATATTTTTTTACTATTACCAACTCAAAGATAAATTGTAAAAAAATGTACCCTCAAAAGTCTTGGTCTTGGTCTTGGTATTGATCAATCATATAAATAAAATTTATTTGTTTCGTTATATGAAAACATTTGTATCAGAATAATATGTTAATATAGCAATATAATTTCTTCAATGTCATTAGAGTTTGCTTGTCGCTGACATTGGAATTTCATAATTGCATCAGACCAGGCTTGGTCTTTAGTCGGCGATCTAGTAAATTCTAGCATAAACCTTAGAAGAGCTTTTAGAAGAGGAAAAACTTAATAATTTAAAGAGGCAACTCCATAATTTGCTTTATAAATATATTCGAAGATTTTAATTTTTTTTTGAGACATATTAACTCAAAAGCATTGAATTAAATGTCATTTTGACAACTATTTAAACGAAAATCATTTAACTTCCATTTTTGGAACACGTCCAATATCTTTATTAAAATTTCATTTACTTTTTCATGGTTTCGATCAATTAGTTATTAGAATAAATTCTTGTAACTTAGCAATAATTATTAAATGTATTGTTCCTACTTTTTTTGTCAAGAAAACTTCGATCTTTTAAGAAAACGAGTACTTCAATAGGCTATATCGCGAATCATAAAAGATTTTTGATTTGGCGTTTGAAAGAAACAATTATGGATTCATTTTTGCATCTGCCACTTTAAAGACTTTTACAATGATACTTATACTTGGTTATAATATTTCCTTTTTGTGAAAACAGCAAATGTTTTGCATATGTTTGCATTATATCATTAGACTAAAATATTGTGTACGAAAATTCTAACACTTAACATATAATAAAACTTTCAGGCATATACGCAATTATAAATTCATGTTTTCTCCTGCATCTTACTCCATAGAAATACAATGAAACTTATATTTATTTGATGTAAATAGCAAAAAGTTAAATATTTCTTCTTTTTATTAATTACACAGATATATCGTGTAAGTCCGATAGTCCTGAATAAAAAAAAAATCATACATAATATCTGATAATTGTAGACTGACATCAATTTCAATTCCTTTTTAGAACACTTTTTGTTGCAGTAATATTCATTTTAGCTTGAAAATATAGATGAAAATGTATTTCCAAAGGAATAGTTCTTCCTGACATTGATGTTTCAAGTTAAAAATATATCATCACTATTAGGAAAGTACTATTAAAAAATATATCTAATATATATAAAACAACCATTAACTCGACTTCTAAAAAGTCACGCAGTCAAAGCCACATCACACAACAGTCCATAGATTACCTGAATTTTTATAAATGTTCAAAAATAAATCAATAATATTTTTCAAAAATCAATCGAAAAATCTGCCTTCGTTTCTATATGTATTGAATTTTTCTATCCAGGACTATCCACTTTCAAAATTCCTGAAGGAGTTTTAGTATAGCAAAATTATAATACAGACAGACAGTCGAGATTAATGGAGTATTATATTTATATTATGAAAAAATTAGACAATAACGTGTAATAAAGTATTATAACATTAGGTAGTTAAAAAAATAATATTCTAGAATGTTAGAGATGTTGAAGCAAAAATGATCCAAACTCATAGTTGTTGAAGAATCTAATTAAAAATTTTCAATAACATTATTCTAATTAAATTTTGTTTTTTAAGTGTTGTTTATATACTTATATATGCATGTTATTAGTGCAAATTTTGCATGACTTGATGCATGTTATATTAATTAATTTTTCGACAAATTGTTTTAGCATGCCTCATGGTCAATTTTTAATTTGTCAACACGATGCTGTTATCTAAACAAAAAATTTTAATTACATAGTTTCTTTGGCTTGTTTATTCTTAACATAGGCGATAAGTTTTCAGTGACTAACTTGATGTATAAATATTTGTCTTCGACGAAAAATATTTTTATCAATGTTTTGTTTTCATTAATTACTTTATATTTAGTTTCAAGATTCTGATAAAAATATTGAGATATAACTATATTTATATAATATAAAATACTCGGATCAAGATGTTAGTGACAATATTCTTCAGAAACGGCTTGACCGATCTTTATGAAATTTGATAATCAAGTTCAGTAAGACTTAGAATCGGTCATCTATTTTTAATACACTAATAAGTGGTAAAGGTTGGCCACACTCAATATGCTTTTCTTTCTTAGTTTTCAGACTATTTTTTTATTTTATTTTTTTATCATTCATAATTAAAACCACAAACCCCTATTTCGTAATAGTCATCTTAGTAAACCCTAACCTTAACATTTTTTTAAAACTTTGGAGGTAATTTTCTATTTTTTAATTTTTGAAAATTTGAATTTTTAATTTCAAAAATATATACAACTCTTATTTTCACTACTCTCCATTTAATAATAGTCATTTAGTAAACCAAACATTTTTTATATATGATTTATATAGTTCGCTGAACAATTACCTTTTTTGTGAAGATTTTTCATTGAATTTTGATAAAAAAAATATAGAAATTGATTATTAAAATCTGAAGATAAAACTGTTTTTGAGAGAAATAGAAAATGTTCCAGTGGTTTTAAAATCCAGTCGATTCGCTTAGCATGGCACAACATAATCCAAAAATGAAACTTTTTTTTGCTCCGTAATTCAAAAAGGAATTAGTTAATGAGTTAATGAAAAACGTAGTAATAATATAGATCAATTTCTTGAATATAAAAATGTGCCAATTCAATTTCAACGAAATCAGTTTCAGATTAGACGGGCACTGACAATGACTATTAATATTTAATATTTATATGTGGAACATTTATATGTGGTATGCGTTGCAGTGGGTAAATATTCAATTTAATATGTGTTAGCTGGCCCTTTTTCTTATATACTACAATGGAAGAGCAAGTCCAAGCTTCCAACCACAAGGTTTCGAGTTCAAATTATGCGACACATACAACCTGCATCAACTAGTAGTGATATCAATTTTCTATAGTTGTAAATATGTTTCCAAGCGAAAATAGCAAAAATATCAGGACATTGCTGCATAAAGTATCTAAAAAACTCATCACAAATAGAAAGGACAACCATTGGGTTATATTAATTTATTATAATAAAAAAATATATGCAGTATAAAATACATGGCATAAGTTTCTAGAGCACTGAGAAATGAGAATAGTTCTGATGCTGTTCAATTTATAAACAAAAAAAATCATATGAAATAGAAACTAATTTAAAGTACCTATAAGAAAACTCTCACCTATGGTGTTCGTCTACAAACTTTAGAATATTAATTGCTAAAAGCTTAAAATACTTAGTTGTTTGTGCTTATTCAAAATCGCAGTAAAACGTTCAATTACGTCAAACTACCCATATGTATAAATAATTTACTTTAGCAGCTTAGAAAATAGAAAGATAAATGAAAGTTAAATAAATAGTAAATACTAAAAAAAACTGATAAAGAATGTAGACATTAGTAGAAATAAAAATTGATAGCAATTATTTATATTACAATAATATATATTTTCTGTTAAGTTTTCTGACGCAAGGTGAGCGTTTAAAAAAACATTTCATTGGAATGTAATGTAATGTATGTATTAGGTTAAATCCATGTAATAATCGTATCTCATATTTATAAGAATGAAATAAAAAAATAATAATAATAAAAATATAACAAAATGCCTTTTTGAGTCAAGTTTTACCCTTAAATACGCTCACCTTACGATAAAAACTTGACAGAAAATATGTTACAAGAAATACTGGCGTCGTGTGCACCGGCCTTAAATTCTGTTAAAAGTTTTAAAAAGTAATTTTTTTTTATTATCTTACCTCTTAACAGCTACAACTCCTTATCCTCATGTGGTAAAAAAATCAGCTGGACGGCATGCAGAAAGCACTTGTTATATTGTTTTGTTTGTTAATAAATTTATAAAAATATAAGAGTTAATACATTTATTTTCATCACACTTCACTTTCTTATAACTATTCAGACTTCACTTGTGTTATATAAAATTCATTCTCTTTACTAATTATTAATTTTCATTGATATGTAAAAAGAGTTAATATAAAAATATACAAAATTTACTCCTTAATTATTAGTTATTTATAAAAAATATATAAGTGTTATAAAAATCACACACTGGTCAAATCACAGCACACTGAAAAGCAAGAGAATAATAATTGTTAGTAAATGTTTCATAGAGCTAATTTGTGTATCTGATTATACGTATAAATATCAGTAATGGTCAACATAATAAAGACATAGAAATATTTTAAATCAAATATGTAATGTACTAAAGATAGAATATGTAAATACGTATCTATACGGAATAATGATTTTAATTTATGAATATAATTAAGTTTTTATAGAAAAATATTTATATTGAATCATATTGATATATTGAATAGCATTTTATGTTTGGATCAAGATTTTCTATATTTGAATTCGCAAAAATGAGCGAAGACTTTTTTTTTAAATAACATATTGTTCATAAAATTGTAAGCAAATTGAAAATGCTTTTGATTCACATACTTTAAATATTTATTACCCATAAAAACGTATAACACAAAAATACATCAATTAGAATTTTTTAAATCTTTTGTTTTGTCTTTCTTTTTTTTGTCTAATTATCTCTTTATAATAAATATTGCTATGTGATTTTTTTTGAGAAAAAAATTTTCCTTTTCTCTTTTTTTTCACACAATTATGATCTATTTTTTTTTTAATTAGAATTTATTTTATTATGAATTTATTTAGCCTCCTTTTTACAAATTAGCCATTTACATATATTAGGTTTATTAGCCGTTTATACTAAAATTGAATTCAATTATTTATTGCAGTCTGAAAAAATAACACGCATGTTACAGATTTATTTTATCTATTAAAATCTAAATAAAAATGCGATTCTGTTACATCTAGTTATAAAGATGAAAAATAGCGCACGTGTCTTTCGTGATTGATTGTTGAGTTATATGAGATGCATCATCGAGTGAAATATCCCATTGAGCATCGTAATGTATAATTATACTGTAAAAAACAGACATCACAGGACATAACACATTTCAACCAATTATCAGTTATTGCCTAAATATAGAAATATGTTTATCTGCAATATTTTCTAAAAAATTCCATCTGTTCTCGTTTACCCCATAGGGGGGACGTATGCACCCAATGTCTCAATTTTAATTAGATACATTATTTAATTAGATACCCAATACCAAATACAAATATGTAGTGGTTAATTTATTTATCATTTCTAATAATTTAATTTATAATATCTCGTGCCATGATGTTGGTAATATAATACTCCTCTGAAGTGGCTTGACTGATCTTTATGAAATTTTTTAATCAAGTTAAATAAATTTAATTTATAATATTCAAGTTAAAATAATATAATTATTATTTTAAATTAGAAATAAATGTGGATCTTTATCTACAGAATTCAAACTTTTAAAAAAATCGCAATACCAAAATAACATATTTCAGTAGTGAAACGACATTTGTATTGCATTCGGATGCGCACTTGTAAAGTTATGCAACAATTAAAAAAAAACACATTTCACAACTAGGAAAAACAAAATATTTAACACATGTTAATATTTTGAACTTATTGAGTATTAACTGAAAAAATGTATAAGTTCATAATTCAGTTTATGTACAAAAACTCCCAAGTTGCATCCAATATGTATTTGCAAATTTAGATATGTTTATTTAAATCCACGGCCAATTTGCCATAAATAACTTAATAATATTATGATTTCGTTTCATTTAAGTTCTTAATTAAAATTATTTTATGAACCTTGTTTTGGACATCACAAGCACAATCATGTTCATCATTATTAAAGATTGTTTAACCATTATTAAGCACGTAAATCATATCAAGAGAGAAAATCAAAAGTGCACACGAATGCACGTACATACTATCCAGGTATGACTAACGCATTTATATTCAGGCGAGACGTAATAGAAATATAAAATTAATAGAAAATTATGAAAATATCGATTTACTTCGACAATTGATGAATGACTAAAAATGAAGGAAAATGTCAATTAAAAATATATAACTAGATATAAGTTGTATTTTGACTTATGGCAAATAGAATGAACATCCCGTGATAATTGAGATTTAGCAAAGATAAATTTTTAACTATTCTTTATCAATGTTATTTCCAATTGATATTTCTCAATCAAACTTTAATATGATGTTTGTAATTGTATTACATTCAATTTAATCAACACATTTCATTGAACTTTGTGTTCTCAAAAAATATTGTTTGAAGGGTGAAGGTCAACATATTAGGTTGTCAAATATCTCCCTTCCGCTTTTTTGCTATTGGTTTATAATACAAAAAGGCGGAAGGGAGATATTTGACAGCCTAATATATCAGTGGACAAAATTGTTTGTCACATTTATTATGAAATGACATGTCATGATGTCAAATGTAATGCTATATATATATATATATATATATATATATATATATATATATCTTGATAGTTTTTTCGACGTTGAAACATATTTCAAAGTAACTAGCAGCCCATTCGTCGAAATAAAAAAGGTATAAAGTATAAAACTTTTATTTATACGTTTCGACACAAGATGCGTGTCATCATTCAGCAACACAGGAAAAAACACTCAACAAAAATTTATTTTAAAAAATTAAACTTAATAACATATTAGAGAAAAACATTATTTTAGAAAAAATTATGAATAACTAAAGGATTTGAAAACTAATTTGACTAAAAGTTCGACTGCCAGTCGAGTCTGGATGCTCGGTATGGGCGTGTTTCTCGCTTCACAATGATGCATTTCATAACTTTTAGTCAAAATAGTTTTCAAATCCTTTAGTTATTCATAATTTTTTCTAAAATAATGTTTTTCTCTAATATGTTATTAAGTTTAATTTTTTAAAATAAATTTTTGTTGAGTGTTTTTTCCTGTGTTGCTGAATGATGACACGCATCTTGTGTCGAAACGTATAAATAAAAGTTTTATACTTTATACCTTTTTTATTTCGACGAATGGGCTGCTAGTTACTTTGAAATATATATATATATATATATATATATATATATATATTTGTAATTCAAATGCACCGTCATTACTATTAGTGATTTTGGCAATAGTGTTTTCTCCCACTATCTCATATATACCCGCACTTTTTATGTTTATGTTAAAACTATGTAAAATAATTCTCTTGCTCATGAAAAGCGAAACAAGTAACATCTAAAATAAACTTAGTAAATTTAAAGAAAGCATTTTTATTTTACCAATCTGTGAAAATAAAACAAAGCACGATGTGTGCCCTAAAAGCGCAGCTTATATTGTTCCCAAAAATTAATGATTTTTTATAAGTCAGTATGTCTTTTTCCGTAAGCCTAGAATATTTCAAAATGTTCGTTTACAATATTAATCTTACACTAAACAAATGTGATTACTTTCATTAAAACGACTGCCATTCAGTATGACTTGAAGAGTCGTAAAAACGAAATAGCAGATCGGATTTTCTAACAAAAAAAAATTTCCTTCGACAAAATTTAAAAAATGATAAAAACGATAAAAATTAAATTGAGAATGCATCGATAGTTCAAATCAAAATCTCGGATTTGATAGATGATGCTGATTATCTTTTGGGTGAGAGCAATATTGGTAAATGGTCAAATATTGTTACACTTTAATTTGCCCAATTACGATATGACATTTTTCGAAAAAAGAAAATCAGAAACTAACTAGTGTAATATGGTATTTAGCCTTAAGGCAAGTTGCATGAACATCTAGAAATGTGTTATAATTAATTTAATCAACCGAATTTAAAATTTAGGTATTTCGATAAAATTGTTTATTTCGAAAACAAAGTTTTCGCTTTTAATTAATTTTAAACTTCGCGATTTCCAATTAAATTTTCTCAAACGCATTTAAATTTTCTGTAATTATATTGCACAGTCATGTACTCATATGTCCTAAAATTGTAGTTTATCATTCCAAATTTTAATGAATTGACAATATTTGACTCACAAAAGCACAAAAGCGACAATCACATCACAAAAGCGACTTTTTACACAAATATTGACTATCATTTTTTTTTTCAAACTTTGGGCCGTAATAATTCAGTAAGTTCTAGAAGACCATGATATCTATCGCCTGAAAAATTTCTTAAAAATCGTCGATTTTAAGTCAAAAATCTGTTCACACACACGCACAGACATACTTTTTCGAAATTTGCTCTCATTCGATTCAGAATGGCTTGAAACGTCGAGAAAACATTAAATTAGCAAATCGGATTTTTTGATGAAAACAAACTTATCCTTCGGAAAGTTAAAAATAAAATTGTATAGAAGTAAATTGTAAACGACGTTGATTGGTTTTAAGTGAACATAAATTGAACATATTTTTCTTCATTAGAATAAATATCGAAGGAATAATGAAAACAGATATAAAGAAGGTTTATAAAAAATAATTAAAATAATTACTGGCTTTTGAATGCCTATAGCAAATTTTACGCTGTTTAAAGTTGCTACCATAAAATTTTTAGTACTTGTAATATACAAAATTATTTTAAAAAAATGGTACATCCTGGTAATAGTAAATTTATAATATCAAGGTTTTATTTATATAGGTTTATTACATCATAAAGGCGCATAAACATATTTTAAATGCTTTAATATAAGCTATTAAAATGAATATAACTGCAACAATAACACGTGCAATTATTGTACAATAACAAAAATGTTTACTGATTAAAATTGCCATTATAAATGTTATAAATATATTCCAATGACTATATTTTGACGAATGGTTATATTTGATTTTATCACGATTTCTTTAAATAGGTTAAATAAAATCGAAAAGTTTACACAGCATATGGTTGCAGCTGCCTCAATACACTTCCATGATATATATTAATCGAAATTGCAATTATTTTGTTATTCGCTTTAAAATTATGTTAATCTCAATAATAAATAATCTGTTTAAAATTACCATAATTAAACGATTTATTCATAAAGCAATTATTAATCGCTACCGATTAAACGTAATTTAATACTCACCGATTAATATATGCCAGGTTAAAATAAATTAACTTTAGTAAAATAAATAGTACAAAACTTTCAGCGAAAAATAGTGCAAAACTTACTCAATTTTATAAAAAGTTTGAAAGT